GAGCCCCCTCCATCATCCCTTTTTTCTCTTTTTTATTTTTTTTTTTTTTTTTATTTTTATCCCCGCAACCTAGGTTGAATTAACCTTTGGTGAAAATTTTCCCAAAATGGAGAAGCATCTCCAGCAGCGTTGGTCCATATATCTATACACACTTGCATGTGCGTATGTAGCTTTAGCACGTAGGATAGTTTCTGACGAGTCCGTGCTTGTCGATCGGTTTATGCTTCTACCGATGGGACGACAAAAAGGGGGATTTTCTCCCGTCCTTTCTACTTGAAAACGACGGGAATACACACTTTGGAGAGATTAGCTGGGACGGGACACCACCATTTTATTTTATTTTTATTATTTTTCTTTTTTTTTTCGTTTACCCACCGTTTAAGTGGCCAAGGGGGAGGCAACAGGAGGGGGAGTGGCACTCGACTCGACGTTTCTTTTTGCCGAAACGTTTTCTGTGTCGCTGGCCCATATTTGTTTTGTGCGTTCTCCCCATATCTTTTTTGTGCCTTTTTCTCATACCTTTTTTTGCATTCTGCCCTTACCCTTTTTGTGTGTTTTTCCCATACCTTCTCTGTACCTTTTGGGCGTATGGCAGGGAAGAGAGGATCCACCTGTTCATGCCCGCGGCGCCCGCCAACTACCAACAATGAGAGGCATGCGCACCAGCCGCCCACTCCCTGGAGGGCCAAAAAGAGACTCCTCCGACCTGTCTTTAGTGAGGCTAATCGACGAGTGGAGCTGCATTGAAGCCAAGTCCTATCCTATAAAAGATGGAAACATACTGAGACGAATCCGATACGAAATTAAACGATTCATTTATGCAAATATTCTGCACAAGACGAGAGTTAACTTCCTTCTGTTCCGCACCTTTTACAGTTACAGATACGACTATGGCATGGTCTACGTGGGGAACCAGTACGCCTTCGACGTGTACGGAGGTGGCGGTGGGGACCTGTACCATGTCCTCAGGCGGCACTACGCGCAGAGAGAATCGCCTAGAGGAGCGGCGGATGCGACATCTTATTTCAGCGATGGGTGTAGCACCAACGCCGAGCAGCCGGGTGACAGTTCAACATATGATTGCTCCCCCGATATTTCCATAATGGGGGGCACCTGTCATCCCGGGGAGGATTCCTTCCTCCTGGGGGGCGCCCCAGGGAGGGACACGCTATCCCCGCAGTTGTACACGTCCATATTCGCCTGCTGTCTCGTCCTCCTGGAAAGGAAGTGCTACCTCGACTTTCTCTGCCTATACCTTTACGTGAAGGCCTACTTCGCGTTGGACAGCGTGCCTATGAGAAACGGGACTGTCTTAAAGCTGACATGCCACGAGAGCTTCCTGAACATGTTGCTGTTATTGTCCGACCTGACGAGGTGGAGCGGTACCAACGGAGGAGAGACACACCCGGCAGGATACAGACAGCATTTAACAGACCCATCGTATCGACCTGCACATAGGGAGCAAAACGACATGTACAGTTTCAACACGTTTGATGAGGACATACAAATAAAAAATGTGTCGAAGTTTTCCTATAACATTCTTTTCCTTCTAAGGGTGAAAATAAACTTCAATGAATTGAATTACGATTTGAATACAGATGAGTATGATTCTTTGTGCAACTTCGTCACGTCATTTAGAGATGCGTTTACGATGAGGTTCGTTGCCAGACTGAACGAGCTGGATGGGCTGACGCTGAGGTGTGGGCATCACATTAGGGGGAGCTCCCCACAGAGTGGCAGCCACAGCGACAGGGATAACTCTGTCGGGACTGCTTTCGACATGGAGAGTATCATCCCCATCGACCGAGGCTGTAGTGGCGAACCTCCCACCTGGAGCACGCCCGCCGTAGGAAGCGGGAACTACGCTGCCATGCTGCTTCTTCCAAACATGGATGACATGTCGATGCATCGGGACGGAGGCATCTTCACCAATTTCACCGATCGAAAGGGACCATCGGGGGGGAAGTCCCCGCTGGACAGTTTCTGTGGGCCTCAGCTCAGCGCCAAGGAGGCCTGTTATTACAACTTCAGGTTGTTTAGCGGCGAGGAGATGATTAGCGATGGAGGGATGATTAGCGATGGAGGGATGATTAGCGGAGGGGAATGCTCTCCACCGCTTCCCCCGGGGGTGGCGAACCTGCGCCATGCTCTCACCCTGAGAGAAGAAGACATTTACCAGGATGAGGAGTCGTGCAAGATAGAAAGGGAGGCGATCAGCACGTACACATACATAAGAAGGAACCACGCGCAGGAGAACAAAAACGATGAGGGGAAGTTCCTATTAACCAATGTGAAAACGAGATGGGGAAGGGGCAGCAGTCCCGACGGAGGGACCACCGATGCAGAGCAACCCTACTTGTGGCACAAGTCGTATGCAAACGATACATGCTCTCTCAATGCAATGGGGAAAAAAAAAAAAATAAATAAATATAATAAAAATAAAAAATACAAAAGACATTTCTTAAGCATCATTAACAGCATCTACGTTACTCTCCACAAGAATGTCATTTGCAGCTTAAACAATCGGATAGAGGAGTATCGTTTTTTTTCTTTGAAACGTTTTTTTCATTTTTTAAGTAGAAATGAGCCTTGGGTTAGGGAGAATGCAGATATGTTGAACACATGGAAGCATGAAATTATGGCGTGTCTTCTGGGACATGAGAGCGAAACGTTTCCCATTCGACGACACCCCTTTGTCAGTAGAGCTCAAAGGGGGAAGCCCAAATGGAAGGACCCCCCTCACGTGAAGAGGAAGAAGTTAAATAGATTTAGAAGGGGGAACATATACATCAGTAAAGATTTCGTGTGTGTTAACCATGGTATTGCTTTTTGGCTGGACAAGAAGAAGGAGGAGGTTTTCCGCCTCCGATTTGAGCCCTTCCGAAATATGTTTTCGTCCCCCTTTTACCAGAGATACTTTCACCTCTTCCTGTTTTTCGCCAGGGTTGGCACGCTGGTGCGGTACGTGCAGGCGTTCGTGCGCGTCTTCGCGGGGTTGCTTTTCCGGGGGGGGATTAGCAGTGGCGAGAGTAGCAGTCGTGATAGTAGCCGTGGTGGTAGATCGCGACAAGAAACACCGCCGATCCACCACGAGGAAGACATAATCCCGATGGGAGAAGTATTCACCACATTTATCAGCTCAGTGGCGAAGTACCTACATTTGTATGCAGAACAAATAAGGAGAGTCATTCTCCACGGAAATGCTAAGACCCCCATGGAGATATACAACAAAGTTAAGAGGCACACAGAGTGCATCGAGCTTCTCTCCTTCCTATGCTCCAGTTACACGCAGGAAAGGGAGGAAGTGTTTCGCAAAAAATACTTCGTCTTTTATAACCTCCCCCCCGGGGTACTACCTCCAGATGGGGCAATCAATTCCAATCTGAAGCAAGTCTTCGAGTACAATTCCCTCCTCAACGTTATTTATGGCTTGTCACACATGCCTCGGGGGGGGGGAACAGACCTCCCAGGTGATCGTAAAATGTATAGTGACGGTGAGAAGCGAATGATCCGTGGTAATAGTCACACGAGAATGATCCGTGGTAATAGTCACACGAGAATGATCCGTGGTAGGAGTCAGACGCGAATGATCCGTGGTAATAGTGACACGCGAATCATGTGTGATACCCGTGCCGACTTGTTCATTTTCCCAAGGGGTAGCGAACTGCTCAGTTATATATACAGGTACTACTACCTCTTCCTTAGTAGTAGGAGGAAGCACCTGGCAAAGGTGTGCAAATTCCTTTTCCTGCGAATAGTAAAACCTCTGCTCCATTTTCTGTACGCTTATGTCTTCCTGGGGGTTAATAGAGACTTTCACTTCGAGTATATAATCAGCAGGCGTGCGGCACGACAGTTTTTTTTCGTCCTGTACAAGGGAGATAGGTACTACGACCCAGGGAGTCTCCTCTCCGACTCGTTCCTTTCGCTCCCCATTTTTTTGAAGTACGCCATAGGGGTTGTTTCCAGAGCAGGTAAGGGCAGTCATAGCCATCGCGCAGGTGGGAAGTAGCCACCATGCAACTGGCATGTTCCTCTCTCCATTTGGACGGAGCGCCGCAACACGTCGATGGAGTGCCGAAACACTTCCGTGACGCGCCGAAAACACTTCCATGAAGCGCCGCTACACTTCGATGGAGCACTTCTACACAACCGTCACCACACCTTCTTCTCCCCAGGCGAACTGTCCCGAATTTTAAGATCAATCAGCGAAGAAGACTTCCAGCTAGCCATTCCGAAACTCTCAAGTGGGAAAGGCCAGCTAGCCAAAAAAAAAAAAAAAAAAACACCCAAAGGGGCGAACCTGCGCGTGGAAGTGCAAACCGAGTGGGAAGCGCAAATCAGGTGGAAAGTGCTAAAGACGTGGGAAGTACTAAAGACGTGGGAAGTACTAAAGACGCCGCTACCGCTAAAGAGGTGGACCTTCCAAACCTGCTGTGCTCCTCGTCAGCCGCCACTTTAGAACAATTTTTTCACCTGCACACAAACCCGAGTCGCAACAAGGTGACAAGCCCAAGTGAACGGTTCGAAAACGTCTTCATCGAGCATTGGAATGATGAAGAAAGCGCCAATCATGTTTTCTCCAGAACGAGGAGGATTATAAAGAAGCGGTTGCAGCGGTACGTGCGCTCCTTCCGCAGTGCTCTTAGTCGGCCCAGCGGTCCCACGACGAGGGGAAGCACTAATCATGGTGACATCAGCTTCAATAAGGGCAACGATGACAGTGATGCTAACCGCGCAACTGGGGTGCTGGAAAACAACGTAGACACGGAGGATGCGAGCAGGGGGAATGTCCTCCATACGGGAAGACTAACAAAGGCGATCAAATTGAGGATCATCGCTAAGCGGGGGAAGAAACCAGGTGGTAAGAGACAACGCGGTAGGGGAAAACGCGGTAGTGGGCGATGCGGTGGGGGACGCACAAATCCGAAGCAACACGAAGAAGGCTCACCAGACTGGAGTAGCGACGTCTCTTCGTTCCCTCTCTCCGATGACACAACTGCGTCGTCACACGGTAGTGGCAGGGCATGGAAGGAGGTGCCTTTAAAAGGGTGTCACTCTCATTGTGCCGTTAAGAAAGGAGGACCAGGCAATGGGGAGACCCGCCGCCCCCTCAGCCAAGTCAGCAGCCAAGTCAACCCATTCAGACCGCTCACTCCGCTCAGCCAAGTCAACCCGTTCAGCCTGACCACGAACCTCCAACTAGACGAGGCGGACCCTTCTCAGGAGCGAAGAGACCTGGCAGCGTTCCGCATAGACTACGAGGATGATGGGGTGAAGCTATCCAGTGCAGTGCAGTTAGGAAGGAGAACCTACTACAGAGATGACCTAACGGGGAAAGTCGCAGAGTGGATAAAATGGGGGAAGGCCCCGGGGAACGAGGGTCGAAGCTACCTTAGAGGTGAAGACAACCCATGTGCTCTGCTTCAGGACGATGGGATAAAGAATCTCCCCCCTCCGCCATGTGGTCCACACAGAATGGAAATTAAAAGCATTAACTATTTCCTCTACCGAAATGTTTTCATTCCAATCAAAGAGCACTACGACAATGTTAATAGGATCCTCGTGTGGTCCTTCTTATTAAAACACGACTTGCTAGCCTTCGTTTGTTTGTTGAAATGTATTATGTTTTTCGAAACGGAGGAGAAGCACAAGATTTTTTCCTCCCTGTTGAGCAGCAAGAAGGGTGACTCCAACGGGCTAGGGAGTGGCCTCATCAATAGCGATAATATTAATGATTCCCACTATGATGGGCACATCGGCATAGAGGCCTCTACCCCAGCGACGACCCAATCAAAGGGAAGACACATAAAACTGCTGCACCATCGAGCAGACAGTTATTGTTACGCCGCCTCAGATATATCCTCCAAATTTTCTCACATCCATGTGTATATAGAAGTTCCCCCCCCGTTAGAAATCTTTTTCGACAAAGATGTTCTAACTTACTACACAAATGTGTATCGATTAACATGTCTGCTTTATTTTACTCGGGAGAGTTTAAATGGTATCTTCGGGACGTTACGGTATTTGTCCAAGCCGCTGGTTTATCGGTACAGCAAGAGGGGCAGTGTTGGGGCTGGAGAGGCTGATGAGGGGCAGCGGAAGAGGAACAAAGGGGCCACCACGCACTTCCGCGGAAGCGACTTTAAGTACATGGACGTGATTAACAACATCGCGCGGGGGAACGCGTCCAGTGGGGACAGCGGTGAGGATAGCGATGGGGAGCGGCTGAATGGCCCCCCTCCCCGGAACTGCCTCCTATCGAGGAACACTTGCAACGCGCTCCTAACGCGGGAACGTTTCCTCAGCATCGGATTCGACGACCATTTCACGCGCCACTCAGGTGTATCCAAATTTGTCACCCATGTGAAAATCATGAGTGACTTATTCAGAGACCTGAATCAGATAAGAGTCGAAATGGATTTCCTTCTTGGTAGCATTCACGACTACATCGTCAACACGAACATCGTTAGAAGTTACTCTTTCTTTTTTAATAATGTGTTGAAGATAGAAAGGTTTTCCACGCTGATCGAATTCCACAGACGTCTAGCTGAGCATCTGTATCACTTCTCCTTCCTGTCTCCTGAATTTGTGTCGCTCAACAGAATGATTACCAACCTGGCTAACCTTGTGCATGTCTTTAAGCGCATCGTGGATTCCTTGACATGGGTGGATGTGGACACTCAAGAGGCAGTGAACTTTTCGCAGACCTTCCAAGAGCACACCAAACACCTGGAACGTAACATCATTTTGCTGACCTCTCCAGAGGTGCAGCAGTTTATCGGCGCCTTCTATGCCAGCAGGAACGAGTTAATTGGATACGTTCGACAGTTTCGCAGCGGGCCGCTTGGCTGCCTCTACAACAGATTTTTCTTCAACGGGTTCTACGCGCGGATCTTTGGCGAGGATGAGTAGCGGTGAGTAGCGATGATTAGGGATGACTACCGATGAGTAGCGATAGGGAGGGGTAGACAACCGAACTGCGCAAAAGGGTCGCACCTCGGGGCAGGGCGCCGCAACCCAGCAGAGGACTGCCAATTGGTGCCGATCGCTACGGATCACTTTGAATCACCCCCGATCGCTACGGATCAGTTTGAATCACCCCCGATCGCTACGGATCAGTTTGAATTACTGCCCATCCCTGCCTCACTCCCGCTTGTGATACAGCACGGGCACCTCCTTCAGCGTCGGATTGTCCTCGATATCATACTTAGCCAAAAACTGTGGCCGGAGTGGAGGCTTCCTAAACTGTGTCTGTTTACTGGGAGGGAAGCTGACCACATGTTTCATTCGAAGATAAACGAGACTCCTATTCTCCTCAAACGATCTCACATGCTCGGTTCTGTATCTATATAAGTCTTCTTCCCTGAGTTCTCCTAACTCCTCTGGAAGTACATTCACGATGAGGACATTCTGCACAGTGTGAAATGTATATTTTACTCTCCCATTTGTGAGGGCTACTAAACTTGTGTTTTTTGTAACCTTAACGTGTTCCCCTGGGTAGTACTTAAAATTGCGTCTCCGTGTCTTTCTCTCAAAATTGAAAGCAATGATCTTTCTTTGCTTAACGAGAAGTTGTCCTGTTTTTACATACTCAGCACTTAGCCGTTTGATTCCTATTTTTGCCTTCTGCCCTTGTCCATTAGGAGAGCTCCTACTTTTCCTTCTGTAAGAACTCGTCTTCACCATTTTAAAGCGCTTAAATATGTAGAGGCAGTTGGTAATGCCTGTGTGTGGTTCTCCTATGTGTTGTCCTCCTGTGTGCTGTTCCCCTCTGTGGAAGTCATAGCGAACCCTTTTGGGGACCATCCCGAGGGGGGGAAACAGGTAGGGATGGACGTAAACACAATTGGTCCTGCTAGTACATATTGGCTTCTTCTGTACTGAGAGGTGCATTCTCCTCGGTTGGCTTTCTCGGGGGGGGATATTCACAGGGGAGTTATGAACCCCCCGCGAGGTTCTTATTGTCCCCCTGGGGTATCCCCCATTTTTTGCACACGAAATGAAGAATCCATTCTTCCAGTACGGGGGGGTTAAAAAATGGAACCTGTGTAGAGGAATCATCTTTTTTTGTCCCTTTTCTGGGGAGGTGCCTTCTTCTTTTCGCGGTTACCTCGGTTACGTCTCTTGGTAAAGGGGGCCAGGGGGCCCTTCCTGGGCTTCTCTCCCTTCCCTTGCTTTACCCTCACGCAGGTTCCTATTGAGGTATCCTTTGGGCCTCGCTACAACACGCAGCTTCGCCATGCGGAGAGAAGCGACAGGCTGGAAAGTGAACACTGGAACGGAGGGGAGAACTTTATGCATAACTGGAGGCATAACTTGATGCATAACTTGATGCATAACTTGATGCAGAACTGGATGCAGAGCTGGATGCAGAACTGGATGCAGAACTGGATGCAGAACTGGATGCAGAACTGGATGCAGAATTGTATGCGTTTTTTTCTCAAGCCGCCGACCTGTCACGTTGCAGCGATAGTGCATTTTTGCCAAAAGGGGAAAATGAATGCATCCTCTCCCCTCCCTTCTTTGCAGAGAAACCTTTCCACAATGTAGGAGCAAAGCGCATTTTTTGCCACGGTGATGGAAGTGCCATGTTTTGGGACTCCGCCTCCCCCATCCCCATACACACCCGAAGTATCCTCCCCCGTAACTGCTTCAATTTGCCACTTTGTGTAGAAGACTCTGCGCCGCGTTGCGAATTGACCACTGACGCACGAAGAAGTTTTATCTCGTTGTACTTCTTTTCCGAAGATTCGTAACAAACCAATTTTGGCAATCACCCCTATATGGATTGCCCCAATCCGCTGAAGTGCCTGGGCGATTGCATGCATACGTTTCGGCAACGCGCCCGTGAAGGTCGCCCCCTCGAGGGGACCATCCCATCTTGGGGTTAACGGGCGTGTGGTTAACGGGTGTCCGGTTAACGGGTGTGTCGTTAATGGGTGTCCGGTTAACGGGTGTGTCGTTAATGGGTGTCCGGTTAACGTGTGTGTCGTTAATGGGTGTCCGGTTAACGTGTGTGTCGTTAATGGGTGTCCGGTTAACGTGTGTGTCGTTAATGGGCCACTTTTGACCCCTACCACCCCGTCGTGGGGTTTTCCCCTGGGTATCAATCCGTGATGAGGCATTAATTAGAAGCGGTCTTCTCGCCCCACTCACTCGTTGCCCCCTTGCGGTTTCCACGGCGCATATGGCGCACGTGGTTTTCCCATTGTTCGCGTTGTTTACTCTGTTCAGTTGGTTTATCGCCCAATCTGCTTCTTAATTTGGGGGCTAATTTTTGAGGCCAATTTTTCGATCAATTTTGCTGCTCATTTTGAGGCTAATTTTTTTTCTGCAGCGCGCTCTACACCATTCCGCGTTCCCTTCCCTTTTTTCCACTCCTTCAGAGAAAGGGCGTTTATTCACCCCAAGGGAAATGTGCATGACAGAATTGTGTCACTCGCGTCAGTCAAGTTTCCCGCGGGCTGGCTGCCACGACCCCCCTCGTTGCCGCTGCGTGGTGGTTCCGCGAGCCTTGGTTCTTGTTTGTTCTAGCTTACCGACCACACCCTCCCAGCGTGGCCCAGGTGTGCATATAATTTACCCATGTTTTTTAATCATTTTTCTTGCGTTTTTTTTTTTTTTTTAAATGCCCTTTGGGATTAATAATTTTAGTTTCTTTACTTATTTGAGAGTCTGTTTAGCAGACTTTTCGTTCTTCACCTGTTCGCCTTATTCCTATTTCTTTCTCTGTTCTTTTTTCTGTTCCCTTTTCTACTCCTTTTTCTGCTCCTTTTTCTGCTCCTTTTTCTGTTCCTTTTTCTGTTCCCTTTTCTGTTCCCTTTTCTGTTCCTTTTTCTGTTCCTTTTTCTGTTCCTTTTTCTGTTCCTTTTTTTTTTTTTTTTTTCTGTGCGACCTTGCCTATTTCCACACATTCCATGTTGACAGCGCCATGTGTGCACGAGCCCTCATCCCCCCTCCTCCGTCCACGAGTAGTCGCTTGCAACCGAATTTCTAATGCACGACTATTTTTTGAGGACCAAATTTAATCTTCTGAACAGCGGACTTTTTAACAGCCTCTATAGAAATGGTTCCAAGTATAGAAGTGATGAAGGGAAGAAAAACCCGGACGTGGGGAGACCTCCGAATTCGTTTAGCACCGACACACACCTTCCCGACAGGAGGAACAAAGAAGTGAATGATCATCTGATTTACTCCTACTACAACAACTTTGCGAATGACAGGGGAGAAAGGGCGCAGCAGGATCGCAGTGGGCAACAGGAAAGAAGCGGAAAACACGGTGGAGGTGGAAAACACGACCCCAGCGGAAGTGACCTCTCCAGAAGTGACCGCTTCAGAAGCGAGCGCGGCAAGGGCGAGCACCCCGACCTGAGCGCGCTGTACGACGGCACAGACGGGAACTTCGCCAAAGGCAATTGCAACATGCACCTGGACGAGCGCGGAAAGGCCTTCCTGGACTATCGGCCGTATGGCCACAAAGACGAAGAAATGCTCTGCGTGGAAAACGCCAACCAAGTGATCAGGGAGGAAGCCTTTTTTTATAAAGAACTTAGAAAGCTAAAAAACGATGTCATGGCACTACAAATTATGAACGTCAACCTCCAAAAACAGGTGTTAGAGAACCACACTCTGATGGGTCCATCCAAGGTGGTTCCGCAGCACATAATAATTAACAACAAAACGGAAGTGGCCTCCAATGCTATCAGCCAAATTCAGGACAACAAGAAAAAAAGCAACGGATTTCTATACGCGCTGATGAAGAAGCTGCTGAGCAGTAGGCTGACGCAAATGTTTTTCGTTTCGTCTTTTTTCATTTCCATATATTTGTTTAACAAGCACTGGCAGCGCGCCCTGAAGGTGTCGCAACTGGAGAGGCGCATCAACTCCAATTTCATCCTCAGGAGTGTGCGTATGTTTGAGGAGACCCTGGGCATGCGCAAGTTCAGCTACGCGTAGTGCGCGATGGGTGGTTGGCCGTTGGCGGCTGGCGATTACTTGGCTGTCGCGTGGTAGCCACTTCCGCCACCACTTCCCTAACCACCTCCCTTCCCATGGGGGTAAAAAATCCCCCCGTTTGTGTTTCCCACTTTGCTCGAAACTTCTCCGCAATTGCGGCGTCGATATTGTGTCAAGCTAGCCAAAAAAATAGTGGAAAAAAAAAAAAAAAACTTTTTTTCCTGAACAGTTCAGGCGAATCATATAACTGTAAAAAAAAAAAAAAAAGGCGCAATCGTGTGCAAAAAAGAGGCAGCATGGCTACCTCATTTTTGTTGATATAAACACCGGCCGTGCGAAAAAGAACGTGTGTATAGACGGAATAAATTGTCAAAGAAGAGAGTGATTTCTTCCTCAGACATGCCTGCGTGGAAAGTTTTAAGAAACTCTTTAACGAAATCTTCTACTTTGTAAAGGCCATTCAGGTTTGTGTACGCTCCAATAAATTTCATGTAAAGTGATGTCTCAGGGACATAGACTTGAAAGGGGGAAATAAATGATTGGTAAAATTTAGCCAAGCATTTTGACATATCATCAAGATCGTGGAATGAAATGTGTGGGCTTTTTAACGCTTGTAAAATTGATTTAAAGTCCTCCACATATAGAGATAAATAATTTCCCCTCAGCTCGTTTTCCGTTGCTGTTCTGCAGGTTTTTATTATAATTTTGAATGTAACGTTCGCGTCGTATAGGTAGGAGAAGTGCTCATCGAGCGACGTGCAGAATTCGTTGTAGCTTAGGACTTCCTCGAGGATACTCGTTATGGCCCGCATCGTGTGTTGGATCTGCGGGGGGGCAGCGATGGGGCAGCGATGGGGCAGCGATGGGGTAGCGTTGCGGTAGCGATGGGGTAGCGTTGCAGTAGCGATGAGGTAGCATTGGGGGAAGCAGCTTCTTCCACGCAGGAACTTCACCCATCTCAGCTGATTATAATTTTCCCCGGCGAATAGCCTCCCAACCCGGTCCGCACTTACCGAATCCGAGACACACCTACTGACGATATTTCTAATGTTGGTGATGTTGTCCAACTTCTCAATTTTCAATTTTTTAATCATCTCATGGTGAACGTAACCTAATTCTGCATGTGATGTTTTCCTCTTAACTCTTTCGTATGGAGAAAGGGGGGTCTTAACTTCCAGGGCGTTTAAGGAAGCCTCCAGAAAGCTGTAGGAATCTTGTCTCCTTGACAGGTGCAGTTCTCTTTCTTCTTCTGCGTCATTTTCCATTCCAATCGAGGCCCAACTGGTTCGTAGTAGCAGTGCCAGCGCTGCAAGGAGGACGAGGTTGATGACACTTCCCTTTGCCATTTTGTAGTGAGTGGACAAGAGCAGAGGCGTGGAAAGCCTACGCACAAGCACAGCGACATGCAAAGACGTGAATGCACCCATGCATTTATATGCACACGTTTTACGCGTGGACAACTGGAATGGTGACAAAAAAAAAAAAAAAAAAGAACGAAAGAACAGCGTTGTCGAAAAAGTGACTAGCCAATCTTACCAACAAGCTTTTTTTATCAACCTGTTTTA